GGTGATGATGGGAATTCTATAGGTTCATTGAATACTCCAAGCCTCTGATGAAGTAGAATTGTCATACTCCTGGTAAATTCACCGTGTTCAAGAAAATTGAAATGAAATGCATGTGTGCTTCATCACTAGCGTTTAGGAGACGATCTCTTGGAAAATAAGGTTGCGTATAGTGTAGAGTGAAAACTACTTTTGAGAATGAAATAAAAGATCTCATATACAAAAGGAGCGACAAAATAAAGGAAGAAAAAAAAAAGGAGAAAAGCACACCATAATGTGCTAAGACAGTGGCAACAAAATTGTAAGTACTGTTTTTGCCCCTTTAAATCTTGGCATCAATCGGGGACATGGAGAATGGTGAGTTGATTATGAAAGCAAAACGAATTTCATTTGTTTAGGTCACCTAGGGAGAAAAGAGATTTAAAACTGAGAGTTCAACACGAGCGATCAGAGATTATATTGACATACTCGAGGTATGGTACTGATTTGGAGTCGGTCCTTTGTAGGTTGAATTGAATAACTTGATTCCAGTAACATAAGTGAAATTAAGGGTAAGTAACACACATAATCAACGAAATTATGCAAGTATATCTCCAATTGGACCTCACAACAATTGTTATACTTGCTATATTCCTCATTAACTTCTGAAATATAATAAAGAGCATTCAACAATTCAATTAGTATCTAATTAATTGTAAAGCATTAGTTATATAGTAATTATCCAAGACAAACGAGTATATAATGTCAAAGTCGTGAAATTAATATTAAAATAGCATAATAAAGGATTCATCGGGGTTTCACAAGGGCCTGCCGGCCTCTCACAATCTGGCGAGCTCCACATGTTTTAATAAAGAAAAAAAAAACCCACCCCTCCCCCCTGTGTCTTGCATGTAAACCACCCCCCCCCACCCCTTTTCCCTGTATGTCTAGCATAGCCCATAGTTTAGTGACAAAGTATAGCTTACATTACAAAATTAAAAGAAATCATGCAATGAAACATCACCCGAATATGAGAAATATGAAGAAAAAGAGAAGAAGCCACGAATTATTGAACATCTTCAAGTCTCCTTGAACAATCTTCAGTTGCACATTCTTCTTCCTTAACCAAAAACCACAAAATATGCTTCAAGAATATTTCCTTATAACGTGTCCTGTAACTCCCCTTGAAAGAATATGTTTGCCTCTCTTTATTGCCAAAAAATATATATATTCTAGAGAGGTGCCTTAATTGGTGGCTGAAGGTAGGTACTTATAAGACAAGATTCAGATCAAAATTCGTGTCCAAAGTGGTTTTCAAATAGAGTTTGATCAAGAAAAGGAAATCAGAATGTTGCCATCTGGAAAGCAATGCGATCGCAGATGAAATTTGATCTGTGGTATAAAAACTTCTGTAGTTTGTTCATTTTGGTCCCTTGTTTTATTCCTTCGTTCAACTTCAGTATTTTTTATATGAAATTTTGATCCTTCAACTTCTGTCTTTATCTAATTCAATCCATGTAATCTTCAATCATCAATCCTTGGTTTAATTCAACTTTCGGAGATTTACAATTTATTTCTCAAACTTTGTAACTCTTTCTTTTTCACCCTTCTTCGGCCAATTTTCACTTCTTTTCATCAAAAGCCATCCAAACTCGAGTTATCCTACAATATTCGATATATACGATATATGGAGATTATGTGATAAGTGTTCATTCTTGTGTTTTATTTACCTGTTAGAGTTTTCGAACTTGGATATTTATGTTGAAGAAGAAATTTGAACCATTTATGTTAGTTAAGTACGTTGGTTTAGTTAGTTTAGTTGAAGTCTTTCTTTTGCTTTATTAATGTTCAAGTTTTACGTATCTGATAAGTGCAATTTAACTTATCTTGACCATCGAAAGTAGATGATTTGGAGTTACTTTTATTGTCTTGTTAATTAATTTTTGTTAAAAGTTGATTGCTTTAGGAGAACTCAATGTTGGATGGTGGATAAAAAAATTGAGTGAAAAGCAAATGATGAAAGACTAAAGAGGAACAAATTGTGGATGATGAGGACTAAAATATAGAGATTTGAAAGACAAATGACCTATGTAAATATGAATGACTAAGATATTCAAGAGTAACTCGAATGGGAGAAAAAGATCAAACCTTGCTATCACAAGATTTGTCCATGTGACCTCAAATAGAGAAACATGGACAACATGTTTTGGGGTTGAACCAAGTTATCACATGGTTAGACGAAGCTAACTCAATTTTTTTCTGCCAGCCTAATTGGACTTCTATGTGGAATTAGGATGTGACGCGAATTTTACCTATGTCTTGTGACTATAAAAGGACGATTTTTTTTCACATTCAAGGGAGAAGAGGCTTCAATTCATAAACTCATAATCATACACAAATTTACATTTACTCGGATTTTGGAATACGAAGAAGAGAATACAAGAAGATTATTCAAAATTTAACACAAACATTCAAGAGTTTATTTCCGTTTTCTTTCTAAAATTAAAATATATGTGATGTATTATTATTGTTGTTGTTGTTATTTCAAATTGTGTTTGTGTAATTTTATGAGGCTCAACTAATAGTCTAGACACTAAGATAAGATGAAGCCTGTATTTTGAAATTTTAATATTAATTCCAAGTTTTTGGTTGTTAGATTATTAACGTTTTCAATTACTTGAATTATAATTGAAGAGATTTATTATTTTTATTCTGTTCGAGACGAGGAATAGTAAGTTTAGCACGTAGTAATAATCGTTGTGAAGTCTGATAGTAGATATTGATATATCATTACGCTTTGTATGATCTTATTGTGATGTTCTTGAGACTTAATTCATTCCATATATTCACATCATTCATAGAGATATAGTAAGGTCATATGCAAAAATAATTTTAATATTATTCGAGATACGTTATTAAGGGCTCGTTTGAACCCCATTTTTGAATAGTGTATTGATGGGAAATGTATAGTTAAAAAAAAGTTTTGAATTACGTGTAATATTATTTTATTAAAGAATATATAGTTGAAATGAGATTAAAACACTGTTCAAGAATTTTTTTAAGGGAACATTGATGTTAGGTTTGAATATGTATTTTCAATTTCTTGAGGAATATAGGAGGATTCAAGGTCCTAATGGTAGTAATTAATTGAGTTTTCATTAAAACTTGACTTATAAAAGTTATATATTTAGCCCCTATTTGAGACCTATTATTTAAAATCTCTTTTTTTTTTAAACTTATTTTTAACCACACATTCTTCTAATAAAATATTTTGCATATAAATTGAAGACTTTTCTCATTTTTTAACCACACTCATTATCCAAATATTCACTATTACAAAATTCATTTTTACCGGAAGAATGAGGCTCAAACATAACCTAGTTAGTTAGCAAATTTAATTTACGATTATAAGTGTTCATAAAATTTATGTTATTCATGTTACACTTAATATAATCAGAATCTAATGAAAATTAATCGTCAACTTAGGTACCGTAAGTAGGACAACGAAGAATGACTTGTTATGAAAGTCTTTTTGTACGATACCTTCGAGAAACGTGGGTTACTTCTGTTGAGATTTGTACACAAAATAACATGAATAAAAGATTAGAGATTAACCTGTTCCTCTCCGACTGTTAGCTAGCTCCTCTTTAGAACGCCTTGCGAAACTAGGACCCACACGTCGTCCCAATTAGTTTACGTGGCAAACAGTTCAGGGGCCCCACATTTCGTACACTAACATGGACAACCCAACTCCACACGGACAACCCTCTTTAAAAAGTTTAAGCGACTCCGTGTAGAAGAAGTTAGTCTATCCCATTACACGCGAACCCCGTGGCAAGAACCAGTCCAGGGCGAGGCACTGACAAGAATCCTAAACACATCTTGTGCCACACAAATAACAAGACAACTCACTGCCACCGCAGCAAACTTATTTGGTCAAGTCCAAACCGCAAGCTAGGCGGTGTGAATACCAAAGTAGTACTAACATTTGAGACTGTGATTGATTGATGCCTATGATTAGGAAGATCAATCCTACGGATGAAACCACGTGCATCATCATCCAATGGCCTCTATTCACTCTGCCCAAGTATAAAAGCGCACACTTAGTGTCATTCAAAGGTAATACAAGTTTAGACTCTCAAAACTATATTCTTACCATACATTAACTCATTCACCCCTAAAGCCGACCCCCTTTTTTCATTGGAGGTTCACATTTAAAACTCTCACACACTCATAAATATTTCTCGAACTGACTTAACCATCGGAGTGCGAGCGGTCAACTCCACCCCTTCCGAAGAGGCCACGTGTGTCTCACGGTTTGTCCAAATGTGCAGGAATCCAGCTTGCATGAACGTGGGAGGCCTTAAGATTTGTTGGCCACCTCTTTTGTACATTTTTTGGCGTCAACAAAACTCATAAAATTTAAATTTCTTCATGCATAAACGCGTTCAATTTTCCACTCCTTTCTGATAGAGAACGACCATCTCAAGAGGGTAATAGAGCAAGTAGTGTATTTTAAAATAAAATAACTTTCTTTATTGTTTAAAGTTCAAAATAAGTTTATTTGTTTTGAGAGCAATTTATGTCAAATTAAGAAAAAACAATATTCTTAAGTTTGATCTTAATCGAAAATCAATATGAAATTTCCTTCTACGTGGTAGTATAGGTGTAAATCAAATCAGGTCATGTTGCATTCAGCAACAATATCCCTAGATAATGTTGTTACACGGTACTATGAATACACCAAACAATGCTAAACTTGCAATAACATCATTTTATTCAGCCCTAAACCCAATTTCTGAAATAAAAGATCCAAGTTAGAAGAATTATTTACATTCATGACATATCGTACATCATATAAAAAATTGACTTCTTCTTTTGGCATTTCTATTTTTCTTTTCCCCGTCCCTTCACTTAATTAGGTGCACATCTTAATAATAAAATGCCCGCGTGAACGACCAAACATGGACCTTGGAAAAAAAATAAACTGAAGTACATGTGCTTCTTCAATGGCATGAGAAGACTTACTGTTGAACATCACTCGTATCACTTTCAGTGGCTTTTAGTTTTTTGTAATACTCGAGAGAAAATGCATCCACAACAGACTCAGGAGCAGGGAGAGAGAGCATTGATGGTGAAAGAGACGGGGACTGGCGTTGAATTTCATCCAAAACCTATATATTAGATATCAAGTAATCTTTTAGCTAATTTTCAAAAACCTTGTATGAAAAATAACTCAATACTTTTTGATAAGGAAGAAAGAAAAAGTTGGCATATGCTTAATTATACATAGAAAATCACGTGCTAAAGAAATCATCCTTCCATTTTCTGCAATTAGCATTAACAATAGCTTTACCAGATTTGTGATGTTGTAAGACTGAAGCTCATAAAGCCCTGTCTCACTAGGATAGTGCAATCCACTAGAAGAGGAATCTCAAAGACAAGTAGCAAACAAGCCAGTTGAACGGTCATACACAGGTTCAGAATGTACTAGGTTGTATTTAGAATTGGGAAAGAAGTCAATGGTCCCCCTAAACTGAAAAATCATCATCAATTTTCTAGATCTTTCTTTATGCAACTAACTAGAGAAACCTA